ACACTGAGCGAACACACAAAAAACAGCAACAAAAAAGCTCAGATGAAAGGGGGAAAGACTGGGGAAAAAAATAAAACTGTAAAAAACTGTAATTGCCAGCTTATTTTTGAGCTGATGTTATTGCAGAAGTAGAGGTTTTATACTGTAGCTAAGGTTTGTAATGTTGTTGTTTTTATTGTGGTATGTTGTGTGTTAACATTTGTAAATAAGACAAAAACGATCCATAATTTTGGAGGCTTGTCTGTTAAGAAAATGTAAGCATTGTAGAAATGTGTCGACTGACTGCATATTGTGTGAAAACGACATGAAATTTGTGAATGGTATGGCCACAACAGACCGATGCTGTGCACATTGTATTAAGAGTTTTGAAAATTTGACACTTGGTTGGACAAATGCTTGTTAGCGACTGAAAAAAACTGTAATACCAACATTGCATGTTATACACATGCGATTCTCACTCAAAGATAGGTTATTTATTTTGAACTCCTTTTTGCTTTATAAATATCCCAATATTTATTACAACAAAATCACATCACGATATTGTAATTTTTTCGAATATCCTGCAGCCTTGGTACCCAATATTACAGCAAATACTTTATTTCTTGCCATCCATATCTTCTTCTGCATCTTCTGACCAGACAGTAAGTAAATCTTTAATCTCTTCATTTGTCCACTCATCCATTATTATTACTTTTTATTTTTTTACTTCATCCATTGTTGTTTTCTGTGTTCTTAACTTTTTCAAGACAATTGTTGTATTGTGTTTAGATGCAGGCTATTTGCATAACCAATGAACAAAGAAAGTGTTTGCAAGTTCCATCCAAAAGTACCGAAGTACCAAAGAAGTTTTGGTTTGACACTTAAGGTACTGGATCTTTTGGTACTGGTACTGAACTGGAAGTAGATGAGAAAGGGAAAGTACCAAAAGTACAACCAAAAGTATAGAACCTGATGTAGTGGAAAAGCAGCCATAGAGGCTGCAGCCTGGGATGATTCCCACCTCCAGTCTGTGCTGCTCTAATGTTATCGATCCCACTCAGACTCTCCGGCTGACAACACTGTAATAACCCTGCATGAGATCCCTCACCCTGGCTGGAACATGGTGCCTCTTCAGCATCTCCACCACCAGCTTGTGGGGTATCAACCCATAAGCGTTTGCTGGGTCTAACCACAGAACCATCAGATCACCTCAGAGATGGGAAATTCAGGTCCAGAGAGTAAATGTCCAGACCAAGATATTACTCTCTGGACCTGAACTACCCACCCCGGTTCTCCTTAGCTTCTCGGAGGAGCTGCATGGCCACCCCTCTGTGCTCTAAATGGCCTGTTACCTCAGGGATGCTGCCTTTCACTACTGAGGCGTCAATCTATTCAGGCGTCAAACTCTGCCAGTCACTTACCCATAATGCTGAAGAACACCTTGACTTCTGCAGTGAGCAAAGACATTACTCTGATTTGGCTGATGTATTTGAACATACCCCAAGGCTGTCTGTACCCTGCATTGCACTCACAGCGGCTGAGTCTCCATGTAGCTACAGTATATTATGATTTTTGAAGTCGGCTTAGTTTTCCTGAGTAATAACATAGTAGTAACATAACAGCGCTTTTTTGTATTTGATTCCGGTTGTGTGGGTCCTATTTCTGAGTTTCTTAGTGTGCCGTGTTGTCATGCTATCAGTATTGTAACACTGGGTGGCGCTATAATGCTTCTCTCATACGCAACGTAAAAGCCAACGTCAGCATTTCACAGGGAAACACAAACTATCCAGCCAAATGCACACACGAGCACCTCACCGCTGGACATGAATATGAATATGACGATTAAATAATTTAGTGGAGGTTAATAAACATTGTACTGCTCAGCACTGCAACCTCAGTCTAGTAGAACATCTTCTGTGTTAAACTCAAATACAAACTTGAGCCACAGTCAAGCCCCCCCCCCCCCCCCCCATTAATCATCCAGGTTATTAATGAATTAGAGGAAGACTACAGCACAATACCATCAGCTCTATACCAGAAATCAGTAATTCTCTCACAAAGCATCAAAGCGGATATTACACTATTACACTAAATCTGGGCCAGCACACTGTTACCGTCCATCTGCCTCTGTATCTGCCCCTCAGTACTGGACCCAGTGCATCCATCTGCCTCTGTATCTGCCCCTCAGTACTGGACCCAGTGCATCCATCTGCCTCTGTATCTGCCCCTCGGTTCTGGACCCAGTGCATCCATCTGCCTCTGTATCTGCCCCTCGGTTCTGGACCCAGTGCGTCCATCTGCCTCTGTATCTGCCCCTCGGTACTGGACCCTGTGCATCCATCTGCCTCTGATTGCTCTTCCCTGCCTCAGGGGTCCCGGCCTTCTGTCGTCTGCTGCTCGGTTAATGTGGATTTACTGATATTTTTTCAGATGCAAACAGGATATATGAACATGAGGCGTCGTATACATTTGAAAACAAATATTTTTGGAAATTACCCAACCCCTCCAAAAATCCCCAGTAGTCTGTTGCCCAGTGGAATACTAGGCAGGGACTGGTACTGGTTCGTGGACTGGGGGCTGGGAATCCCTAGCCTACATCTCACTCAGTACCCCAAGGGTAAGGATTTGAGTCTGTAAATAAGAAATAAGATGTTAACTTAATAATATTCAATTGACAATTGACTCGGATACTGTACAACTGCAGAGCAAAATGGGACCCACACTTTATATCAGAGAAAGTGCTCGCAGCCCAGGATAAGAGGCCGCAGATTAGAACACGGCCTGAAGACTTAAGGTGTGAAAATGGGTCAGTCCCTGTGACCTGTGCTCTCTGCCTCTCTCACACACAGCCTCCAAATCCCCAGTCTGGGGCACCAGCACAACCACGCACTGTCCATGCAGCCCCCGGCCGTCTGAAGCGCATGACCTCTGTACACCGCCTTCTCCCTCTGGAATTGCATATGATGTCAGGCTTACAACAGAAACACAAGTGGTTGCTCAACCCCGAAACACCCCCCCCCCCCATTTTGCACTACATGTGGAGAGAGAGCAAAGCCGCAGCTGACCCCATACCCCCCTCCCCCAACGATGGCCCCCAAGGACA